GGCTTGTTGCGGAGGAAGAATGCACCACCACCTGGGGCCGGGAAGAGGAGGAAGGTGCGGATCGTCATCCCAGAGCGCCGGTTTGGAAGCCTGGAGTCTAACTAAGTCCAGCACCGGCCCAGTGACTTAAGCCCCCTCCGGGCTCTCGGTTTCTCGGGAGAACAAGCGGGTCCCCGGCAGGGCAGTTGAGCGGTCCCACGGTTGGAGCGCTCGGGCGTTCCTCGCACGCGGAACCTTTAACGCGGTGGCTTGGAGGAGCGGACGGCGCGGCTGGAACGGCGGACCCGGCGGACCGGGAGGCGGGGCGGACGGGGCGGGGCGGGAGGCGGAGGCGCCGCGTAGGCCCGGGAGGCCGGGCCGGCCGGGCTGGGAGCTCGAGTCCCATGCGCCGCCACCTCCCCCCACGATGTTCCCCTCCCGGAGAAAAGCGGCGCAGCTGCCCTGGGAGGATGGCAGGTGAGCGGCGGCGGCCGGCCCGGGCCCCGTCCTCCCGGGTGCCGATCCTCTCCGGGCCGCCCCGCGGAATCTAGGAGCCCGAGGCCGTCGCGTCTGCGTCTGCGGGGCTTCCTGAGGGTCTGTGGTTCTCCTTGTGGGTCCCTGTCTCTCTCTCTGGGTCCGGGTCGCCGTCTCTCCGTGTGGGTCTCTGTGTCTCGCGGTCTCCGTCGCTCCGCAGGTCTCCGTCCCTCCGCGGGTCTGTATTTCTCCGGTGACTTCCCCTTGTGAATTTCTGTCCCTCGCTCTGCGAGGCTCTGTCGCTCCGTGTGGGTCTCTTTGTGTCTGTGTTTCTCCACTGGCGTCTGTCTTCGTGCGGGTCTCTGACTCCATTGACCTTTCCCCATTGGATCTCTGTCTTTCTGCCTGCCCCTGGCCCCAGAGGGTCGTTCTGCCTTGTTTCTGGTCTCCCGCTTCCCCCCTTCACGTCCATGTAGCCTCAGACCCTACCCTCTCTCACGCTTCCCCAGCCTTTGCTGACCGCCCAGAAGCTTTTCCGACCAGACCAAAGCTCTGGGTGCTGTGCTTGGCAGGCCCCTGCCTGGCACGTACTAGGCACTCCGCACACGTAATGCTGGTTCATTTCCGGTGCAGCTGTACTCGAGTGGGACCTGCTCCATGGGTTAGGTGTGAGCTGGATCCAGACCTTAGCTAGTGATGTTCTCCACTAAAGCAGAATCAGGGTAGGGGAGCCATTTGCCCGTCTAGATTTGGGGGGACACCGACACTTCATTCTTAAGATGTGCCCACAAAACTCTTCTCACCCAGAACACCGGATAGCGGGTCTCTGGAGACCCAGTGAATGACACCTCATTCCCTGTATGTCTCTTGAGTTTGCCAGGTGCCAAAAGATTCTGAAATATAATGGGCACAACTCTTTCGTTTGGGGGATTTTTCCGACTTGGTGTTGAAGTCGGAAGACAGGAATATAAGAGAAGGAAAGCCTGGACAGTGGAGTCAGCCCTGGGCGGCAATCCTCTTTAATAGCCATGTGACCCAGAACAGATCACTTAATCTTTCTGACTTCAGCTTTTCCATTTCTGAAACAGGGATCATAATATCTACTCTGCAGTGCTGCATGAGGATTAAAAGAGACCACATCCGTAAAGCTCTTGACACTGTGCCTGGCACAGAGGACGTGTCTAACAGGTCCCTTTGCAGTTGGGAAGTGCTGTTAACCAGAGCAGCTGATATTCAAACCTGTATCACTAAGATTTGTGTAAGGAAAGAGAGGAAAGGTAATGGAGGAGAAGTTCCATTTCCTGATCCCTTTCCATTAACCTTTGGAACATACCTGTGCTCCCAAAAAAAGTTACCCATGTCAATTCCTGCTTTGGACCCAGGGGGTTCAAAGGTCCATGCAACAAATGCAGGCTAGTGTAGCAATCAAGAGTGCTGGCTCTGGAGCCAGCCTGCCTCGATTTGAATCTGCCTTTTCTAGCCTTGGGCACAGACTGATGGAGACAAAAAAACCTCCTCTGGTCTGCCCCTCAGAGCAGGGTGCCCCCGCGCCTGGGAGCTGCTGGGCCTGCAGATCTGGAGTTTGCCACCAGGTGGCGCCAGGAGCTCTCAGTGTCCACTTGTCCTGAGGAATTGAGATTTGGTTCTGAATTCAGTTGCTCAGCGATTTGGGCCCTTAGAGCCCAAAGGATAGGATTGCCTATGAGAACGTGATCCTGGAAAGGGAAGCTGGACTGAAGGAACAGCCTGTGAAGTTGCACAGAGTGCCCAAGCCATGCCACACCCCCGGATAACGGTCACTGCTTCTTTTCCCAAAGGTGGGATGTTTCTTCATGTCCGTATCCCCGGTCTACATCCCACCCCCAGAAAAAGCCCCGAGGGCGAGAGAGAATCTGTAGAGGTTCCAGCCTTCCCAAGCCACTGGCAGGATTGGGCTCCGCTCCTCCCCAGCGGAGAGCCCTACCACAGGACAATGGGGGGTAAGTCAGAAGCCCTGTCTTACCTGGCCATCTCTCTGCTGTGTGTGGGACCTGGCTGCAGGGCTGCTGGCTTCCAGGTTGTGCTCTAGAGAAAGTCAGGAGCTGGTCTGGCTCTGGTGTATGACTTAAAGCATGTCCTTGACAGCTTGAACCTTTCCTGTGACTCACCTACCAAGCCCTCTGCTGTCTAAACTGGGGCCGCAGGCAGAAACTGATGACCTGTGGGGGAAAACAGCGAGCAGGGACACAAGTGATTACAGAGACACAAGTGATTACAGATCGCTAAGAGCTCCGAGGAGGGAAGGCCCAGAGGCCATGGAGGGAGTGCTCTATCAGTTTGTGCGCACGTTGAGGGGAGGGCCCTGTGGGCCCTGGCATTGGAGTTGAGGGAGAGGGACCGTGCTGGCCATGACATGGGAGGTTCGCCCCAGAGGATCAGCAGCGGGCTTCCAGGCAGATAAAATAAGGAAGGGCACGGCGGACTGTGTGAGGGCTGGAGCAGGAAGGACTATGGTGAGTGGTGAAGCTCTGGGTTACCCCACGTGTGCCCTGGGTGAGTGGTAGGGAGCAACTCAGGTCGAATTTGTGCCGCCTGCCAGCTAACTGGTGACTCCTAAAGGCAATAAAGCCAAGTGTTTTGCAGGTTATTGCAGGGGGAGTAGATCGAGGAAGCTTGCTTTTTCTTAGGTTGCTCAGCTCCTTTGCTATCCTCAGCAAAGGGATCAGGTGAATCCCACCTTCCTAACCTAGAGAGCAGCCTCTCCGAGCACTCCCTCAGTGTCCAGGCCATTCAGGGGCACTGGCCGCTTCTAAACCCAGCCTGGGTTCCATTCCCGGCCTGCATCTTCCTTTCCCTCTTCCGTCTCTCATCTCTTGTCGCATGGGCTGCCCCTTGGACTGAAGCTTTGAGACTCGTTCAGTGAACTGCCACTGGCCATTTGGGCCTTGTGTTGTTTTGGGGGCAGATCCGATCTTCCCAGAGTCAACTCAAGTCTCTTCCCTGGATGGATATCGGCACCGGCCCCTGCCTTAGGGGCCTTTCTGGTGTGAGAAGCAGGATGAAGCCAAGGTTTCATCTGGGGGTGAATTGACAGGGGAGCGGCGTTGGAAGGCAGTGGATGGGATCTCTAAGGCAGCACTCCTGCCATCAGCTCGGGCTTTGGACCTCCAGCCATTGTCCTGGGGAGGGGCAGGTACAAGGCACAAGGAGTCTCATCCCTGTCCTCCAGCAGCTCTTGGTCTGACCTGGACTCACTCACACAAAGTAAGGGGGTGTGAAGGAACTGGGGCAGTTCTGCCCCGGGGACGGAGGGCTTCCTGGAGGTGGCGTGACAGAGGCTGTGCCCAGAGCAGCAAGCAGGATTCTGATGCGAGGTAGCAGCATGAACAAAAGCATTCAAGTGTTGGCTTCTGCACTAACTCCCAGGCGCTTGGGGCAGACCGGTCCTTGTACCCAACTTCGGGGGAAGCCAGAGGAGGGGCCTGTCAGAGGGCCCCCTGCGCCACCCGCCCTCCTGACCCTGTCCCTGCTCTTGTCCCAGGTCCAGGTTGCTCCCCGGCGGCCTCCCCCGGAAGTGCTCCGTCTTCCACCTCTTTGTTGCCTGTCTCTTACTGGGCTTCCTCTCCCTGCTCTGGCTGCAGCTCAGCTGCTCCGGTGATGTGGCCCGGGCAGCCCGGGGACAAGGGCAGGAGACCCCGGGCCCACCCCGGTCCTGCCCCCCCGAGCCACCTCCTGAGCACTGGGAAGAAGACTCATCCTGGGGCCCCCACCGCCTGGCTGTGCTGGTGCCCTTCCGTGAGCGCTTTGAGGAGCTCCTGGTCTTTGTGCCCCACATGCACCGCTTCCTGAGCAGGAAGAAGATCCAGCACCACATCTACGTGCTCAACCAGGTGGACCACTTCAGGTAGGGGCAGCCTCCTGATTCAGCAGCCCCTCTCCAGGGCCTCACCTTGCCCCGGCCCCTCGGGCTCCTCCTTTTCCCACAGGAGTCCCATGCCAGGGGGGGTCTCTGGCCTGTGAAAGCCCCCCCCAGTCCCTGGGGAGCAGTGGCGGTGGCTGGGCGGTGGGGAGCAGTAGACCCTTCTCGCTGGTGTGACGGGAATTTGAGGGGAGAATTTGGGGCTAAGGAAGGTCCTGATCTATCTTTTTTAAAAAAGATTTGTTTATTTATTTGAGAGACAGAAAGAGTGAGCAGGTGGGAGGGGCAGAGGGAGAGAGAATCCCAAGCAGACTCCCCGCTGAGCGCAGAGCCTGACGTGGGGCTCGATCTTACCACCCTGAGACCACCACCTGAGCCGAAACCAAGAGTCGGACACTTAACCACCTGCGCCCCCCCCAGGTGCCCCAATACCCATTTTGCAAAGATGACCACAGCTCCTGTATGAGGAATAGCTTTTACTTGGACACCAGAGGGGTACTGGGTGGTTAGAGGTGAGGGTGTCTTGGCTCTGTGGGAGATGTGGTGGGGAGGAGCTTTCTAGTGGATTGGCTGTGGGTATTCGGGGAAGGGCGGGTCAAGACCACAGCTTCGAAGCTGCTCACTCCGCTGGGAGATAGGTCCAAAGGCTCTGGGGCCCCACCCGGCCCTTTAGGCCACAGTTGCCCCAGTTTTCACAGCCCACCCCTCCTGGTCCTCACTGTGTCTTCCCCCAGCTTGGATTCCACAGTCCATCGGTAGCATCAGTCCCTCGGTAGCATCAGTCCCTCGGCCCATGGGCCGCAGGATGTGGCTGGAGAGGTGGCTGGTCTTCCTGGCAGTGAAGGGCCTGCCTGGAGCCCCGTGCTCCTCTGGCCTGCTGCCTCTCGGCTCTCTGATGCAGCTCTGCCCCCTCTTTCCTCCTCCTCAGCCTCGACTGATGACTTTGCTTCCTGTGTGAGGAAACAGAACCAGCTGGAAGAGAGCCCGCCCCGGTGCCCACCAGCGGGGGCCTAGGCGCCCACTGTGCCAGGAATGCCCTGTCCCAGCCCCTCTGCTTGGGCCCTGATCCCCTTCTCTCTGTGCTGCTCAAGGACGTGGCTCCAGCCACGGCTCCTTTCTCGCCCGCACCAACGGGCACCCGCAGCAGCACGCCCACTGAGATAGCGCCCATCTAAAGAAGACAAGACCCCGTGACCTCCCATCACCATTTCTCTGCTCCCCTTTGTAGCAAAACCTCCCTCTCTCCCCTCACGCTCTCTGGAACCTGCTCCGCTCTGACGTTTACCCCTGTCATGACACGGAGGCAGCTCTCGCCAATACCACCAGTAAGCCCCAGTGAGCCCCCATGAGCCCACCACCGTGCCCCAAAGCCTCCCCTCCCTGACCTCTCAACGTGGTGCTCTTAGGGCTCAGCGCCTCAGCGTCCTCTTTTCTGGCTCCAGTGACTCCCTGGGGGTTTTTGGTCGGTCTCATGGTGCTAAACCCTTCCCTTACCCTGCTGACCACCCCCCCATATTCTCCTGACCGCCAGACCCACTCGTGCAACCACCTGCGTCACCCTCCTTCTGGGGGTGTCGGGCAGCCCAGGCTTAACATGATCAAAACAGCATTTCTGATTTCCCACCCGCCCCCCCTTCCCTATTTCAGGAGCTGCCCCCTCCTTGCTTCTGCTTGCTCAGGCCGGAAAGCCTCAGAATCATTCTCAACCCCTCTCTTTCCCTCACGGGGTGCATCCCGACCCTCAGAATACATCTAGAACTTGCCCCCTTCTCACCGCCCCCCTGAGCCAAATCACAACTGTCTCCTGCCTAAATGAGTGTAGGAGCCTCCCAACCCGACTGCCTGCTCCCGCCCCTGATCCTCCCGTCTCTTCCCAACACCCCAACTGCCGTGACCCCGTTACACACCAAGTCACAGCACGTCCTGCCCCTGCTCCGAGCCCTGCGGTGGCTCTTGAGTCTTCCTGCGGGTCACAGCCCCAACCTGCCAGGGCCCCCCCCTCAACCGCATCCCTTAAGCCCTCCTCGGTCCCTCTGCTCCTGCCTCAGGCCTTGGCGGTTGCTTTCACCTCTGCTCGGAGCCCCATCCCCTCCACTCCCCTCCCCTGCCACTCTGTTACCCTGTCCCCCCATCCCCCCTGTCTGAAAGAACACCGCCCCGCCCCCCAGCGGGCTCCCCCCTCCTCGCCCTGCTGTTCTTTCCTCCGCAGGGCTCACCAGGGTCTGGCTGGGCACATACTTATTTTTCTCCCTTGTAAGCATGTCAGCTCCCAGAAGGCAGGGCTTTGATTTCTCAGTGCGGGCACTGCAGTGATCTGGGCGGTTTCCGGCACATGGTGGGGGCTCGGTAGATCTGTGTGAGCTGAGCCCGGGGGGGCGGGGGGGGCCGGGCATCCCCCCCAGGGAAGGCGGCGTGGGGCGCCAGGCCGGGTGCTGCGGAGGACAGGCTCCTGCTCACTGTCGGGGGGACAGCAAGCCCCCCGCACCCGCCTGCTCAGCCTCGGCCACCCCCCTGCGCAGGTTCAACCGCGCGGCCCTCATCAACGTGGGCTTCCTGGAGACCAGCAACAGCACGGACTACATCGCCATGCACGACGTGGACCTGCTGCCCCTCAATGAGGAGCTGGACTACGGATTCCCCGAGGCCGGGCCCTTCCACGTGGCCTCCCCGGAGCTCCACCCGCTCTACCACTACAAGACCTACGTGGGCGGCATCCTGCTGCTCTCCAAGCAGCACTACCAGCTGGTGAGGCCCAGAGCCAGGGGGCGCCCGCCTGCGGGAGCCCGGGAGCAGACAGCCACGTGGGAGACTCGGTTAGGGAGCCCCGGTACCAGCTGGCTTCAGAACAGAACACGGGGGGTGGGAGGGGGGCCGGTTCCTTGGCTCTCAGACTGGACCGGTCTGGGCGGGGCCGGGGGGGGGGTCTGGCTTCAGGTGCGGCTGGCCCAGCCTCTCAGACAAGGGTCCCCCGACACCACCTCCCCCGCCATCTCTCAGCTCGGCTTTCTCGGCAGAGTGGATTTATTTTCAGACATTCGAGGTGCGGGGTGCTTGGAGCTGTGCCCCCCGTCCACCTAAGCCCAGGTTCAGTGGAAGATGAAGTACCTTCCCCAGCAACCCAGACAGGAGTCCCAGAACTGTGCCTTGCTGCCTCTTGATTGGCCTGACTTGAGTCAGGGGCCGGTCCCGGAGTCAGGGGCTTGGCTGGAGGTGGAGGGGCGGGGAGGACCAAGTGGCTCAGACCTCCATCTGCTGCACCTCTCTTCAGGCTGTGGCTGAAGCCAGCTTTATGTAAATGAAGCTCCAGGTCCGGTGACAGACAAAGGTGCTGCGGCAGAGCCCAGCTGTCCCCGTCCCCCCAGGGAGAGACCAGGGCAGAGCATCCCGGGGAGAAGCGGGGGCATGGGGCAGGCAGAAGTCAAGCACGAGCCGGCACTTCTGCCCATCACCAGCTCCCCGGAGAGGTGCTCTCCCGCCAGCCAGACTTTTTTGAGAAACCAGTCATCTCACACAAGTTCAGGGCCCCATTAGAACAGGCAGAGGGACTGGGCCGCGGTGCTCGGCAGCGGGAACTGGGTGTCCATTCAAACCTCCACAGGAGCGGGGGGGGTGGGGAGGAGCAGAGGGCCTTGGCCGACTCCCAAGTGGTAGGAGACCAGGGAGCACCCCTGGGAGGATGGGGCAAGTGACGCTCCCTGTCTCTGTGTTAGTGCAACGGGATGTCCAACCGCTTCTGGGGCTGGGGCCGCGAAGACGACGAGTTCTACCGCCGCATCAAAGGGGCCGGGCTGCAGGTAATGCCCCCCCCAAGGACTCCCCACCTCCTCAGCCATTGTGGCTGCCCTGAGGTTCCCTTCTCTGGCTCAGATGAGGTTCCTGGGGCTTGGAGATAGCCACCCCTGCCCTGCCCCTGATGAGCACCCCTTTCTCCTGCCGAGTGGCAGTGCAGGCCCCTGCCTGTGGCCTGTGGCCCGTGGCAGGCGGGGGTACCCCGGAAGACTAGCGGTGAGGGCCAGAGCTCCGGGAGGGCGGCCTGACCCACCTTCCTTTGGCCTTCTTAGCTTTTCCGTCCCTCGGGAATCACAACTGGGTACAAGACATTTCGCCACCTGCATGACCCAGCCTGGCGGAAGAGGGACCAGAAGCGCATCGCCGCTCAAAAACAGGTGCTGACTGGTCCCCTGATTGGGGACGCATAGGTGGTGACGTGGGGAAAGCAACAGGGCCAAGCCTTACCACCAAGCTCTCCTTGGGCCCAGATGGCCCTGTCCTCCCCTGCTTGGCCCAGCGCAGTCCCCACTCTGGGGGCTGCCATGAGCACCTGGGTGCCATGGGCCAGCTGAGACCTCAGGGCCTGGGCAGGCGGGGAGCAGGGGAGGGGCTCCGCTGTAGGTGCCGACTCCCAGGCAGACCTGTGACACAGGGACCACCATCCTGCACCCTGCCATATCGGCGCATCGGCTCTCCTGCTTACTGCCGCGGTGCTGCTGGGGACAGCCACACAGCCCTGAGTACATGCCCTCTCCCCCTTCCCTTCCCAGGAGCAGTTCAAGGTAGACCGGGAAGGCGGCCTGAGCACCGTGAAGTACCGCGTGGATTCCCGCACCGCCCTGTCGGTGGGTGGGGCCCCCTGCACTGTCCTCAACATCCTGTTGGACTGTGACAAGGCTGCCACCCCCTGGTGCACATTTGGCTGAGCCGGCGGGTCAGTAAGGAAGCCCGTGCCCACAGGCCACACAGCTCCTCAGGCTCAGGACAAAGCCTCAGGACCGGGGCCCGACTCCAGTAGGATGTGGAGGGGCCCAAAGCAGCGGCTAGCAAGCCACCCGCTTGCAGCAGCCCGGCCGCCCCGGGGCAGGCTGGAGCTGGGACAGGACACCCTTGGGCGCCCGGGACGCTGCTAGCAATGAACAGCGATGGAGAGAGGCTGGAACACGGCTCCCACCTGGGACTGCCCACCCCCTTCCTGCTTGCCCTGTCCTGCCCGCCTTGGTGCACTTAGACCTGAGGGCTTTTGGTTCCTTCCCCTGGACCACCTCGGGCAGAAGCCAGGCGGTGGACATCGGTGGCCAGATGATCCAGAAGGTTGGAACTGCAGAAACCGGCATGCAAGTCCCACAGGAAGGGAACCTGCGGAGGCCAGCTCCCGCTGGGTGTCAACTGTGCAGGAATGTGGGCCCCGTGTTGCCAGATCTTCTGATTTTTTCAAAAGAAACTAGAATTCTGGATTCTTACGTGAAATCGGGTACTTTTTAAATGCTAGCAACTAATTGAAACTTCAGAAAAGGGTGGTGGGCCAGACAAAACGTGTTGTGGACCACCAGTTTGTCGCCTGTGACCAAGCGGAGGGAGATGGGGCAAAAGATGGCACCTCCCTTAGTGATGAGCTGGCAAGGGGTTGGGACAGGGCTGGGGACGCCAAAGCCAGGGGAAGGTCAGGTGGGAGAGAAGCCGGACGAAGGGCAACGTTCCTGCCACCTCCCACAGCCCTCCAGGCTTCGCTGCCCTTCTGGGCAGTCTGGTCCCCCTGGGCTCTGATGGGCTCCGACTCTGGGGTGGGGGGAGCTTCATCCTGCCACACTGGGATGGACAGACGTAGATCCACAGGCCCGGACTCAGGGTAGGCAGAAGGTGCCGGCAAGGACCTGGTCGTAGCTCGGAGGTGGGAAGACCACATTTCTGAGGTGGGAGGAAGAAGACGAGAAGTAGGAGAATCCTCGGTTGTTCCCACAGCATAAGGGCAGATTAGCACTGATCACACGATGTCCAGGAGAAGGAAAGGAGGGGAGCCATGGGAGACCATGGAATTGGGGAGTGACCTTGGAGGAATTATCTGCAAGGAAGCTTGGGGCCAATGAGAGTGGGAGGTGAGGGGCTCTGCAAGGTAGATCATTCCTTCAAGGCATCTGACTGCCAAAGATTTGGGCCAGAAGTCAGGAGAGTCTTGGGACCAGGGAAGATTGGTTTGTTTAGCAATAAACAGGACACCTGAAATGCCATAAGAAGGTAGTGAAGTCCCAGAGTTCAGGAGGGTGGATTCAACAGCTGTGCTCCAAAAAGACTACCCCTCTGAGGATGATCTCAGGGCCGCCGTGTACAGTTGTGGGGGTTGTGCACTGCATCACCTGAGCGCAGTGTGAGTACAATGTAACTATTCAGATGTCTAACAGAGGGTCCTTGTTATCCTAAAGTGACCTCTTTCAGCAGTTCAGCTTCACTCAGCCTGGTGAGGGGCGAGCACAGGGCGATGACGGTGCAAGGGCAGTAGGAGGGACTTGGTCAACTTGAGACCCAGGAGAGGGGAGTGAAGTGCTCGCTCCCTGTGGGCCAGTCTCTGGACAACCCTGGCTGCATCATCTTGGACTTCTATAACATGGAGGCAGAACGCCAACTTCTGGAGTTGGCGAGACTGGACATGCCATCAGAGCCCCCAGCTCGGTACTCACCTAGCACGTAGCAAGACCCACAAGAATAGGGAGCTCCCTCCTTGCCACCTGCATGGAAGGAGTAGAATGAAGCAGGACCAGCTGCCTTGGCTGGGGGAGGCCCCCTCCCCCCCCCCCCCCCGCCCCGCATGGCCACTGCCACCACCTTCCAGGAGCCCATAGGCACCCCGGGCCAGGCCTGATGCAGCCTGAATGTGCAGCCTCCCTGCTTCTCCAGCCGGGGCCTCCGCACCTCACCGCCCCCCACCCCTCCAGCAGAGGAGGAGGGGGGCACTGAGCGGTGGTTCGCTCGGCGAGGAAGCAGACAGCTCGGCACCTTGTTTGCCTGCTCCACAAGAGGAGCTGACATCCTTGTCTTGCCGGCCAGGACGTGGAGGAAGTGGACCCAGGACGTAGCTGGGTGGCATTTGACCAACATGGTGGCTAGAATAGCACCTAGCTGTCAGTGGGCATTAACCACATACAGAAGTCTTGCCGTTGCGTTCTCTCATGAAGCCTCTCTTTACCTAAGCTAGGTCCTGATTATTCACCTGTTCTATAGACGAGGAGGATGAAGCATAGAGCGGTAAGTAGCCTGCCGAGGTCAGAGAGCTGATACCTGGTGGAGCTTGGGATTTGGACCCCAAGACTCCGACTTGAGAGCCAGATTCCTTCATCCCTGGCCTGTACAGCAGGTGGCAAGAGACAGATGTTCCTTTCCTTCCAGACCTTCCCTCCTCCTCTCCCCAGCCGGAGGGGTCCTGTGGGAGGGCTGGTCAATGCTGTCTGGTGCCCCTCCCACCTCTGGGACAAAAGCAGAGCCAGGGGGGTGATCCACAGTGTCTGCCCCTTGCCTCCTCTCCCTGGGGTAAGGTGGGGGTTTGCCTGTTGGGAGAGGTCCCTTGGGACATCGGCGGCAACCACAGCATGGCATTCTGCCCGAGGAATGTACCAGGGGCTTGGGGAAGTCCTCCCCCAAAAGGCAGGATCTCGCTGGTGAAGCCACATTGCAGTCCCGATGGGAAGGGTTCCAGAAGGATCAGCAAGTGCAAGGCAGAAACACACCGGGGGACAGCGTGTCATGTTGAGGGACCTGGAAGCAGTTCAGGGTGTCCCTGGTACCCTGATGTGGTGTAGGAGTCGGGGGAGGTGGGCAGGAGAGGGAAGGCTAAGGTGACCCCTGAGGACCTGGGAAGGCCACACTGAGCAACATGTACA